AGGGATCTTTCTCAAATTTTAAATGTAGGTTCCCCTTGGTCCCTCGTTGTGTATGTTATTTTTTGAGACTGATCATAAAAACAAAATGGATTAAAAGAAAAAACTAAACAGACCTTTCTCATATTGCAATGATCGATTCTATTTCTTTCACATTAAGTACTGTATTAGTAAATATGTGAAATGACAAACTCACTTTGAAGGTTGGCTTTCATACACATCAGTATTAAGTTTAGATCAAAAGTTACCTCAAGGTGCATTTACTGTTAACATGACTCGATCAAACAGATTAGAGGAAAAAAGAGAAAAGATCGAACTGACAAAGAACTAATGAAGATGGTACAAAGGTGGGCGCCAAGATCCCTCTGGGATCTCTTGTTTCCTTTGGTATTTTATAATTGTCTCAGTTATTATCTTCTTTAGAAGCAGACAGTACCATATTGTCTGTTTTAGTTCAATGTTAAACCCACACACATGTAAGCATTATAACTTTCCCTTTAACTGTTTTGCTTGTTTTACTTAGGGCATGTTGTCCTTCCTGAGTGCCCCGCTGATCGGAGCGCTGTCGGATGTGTGGGGTAGGAAGACATTCCTCCTCCTGACAGTTTCCTTCACCTGTGCACCAATCCCTCTGATGAAGATCAGTCCCATGTAAGTATTTGAGGATTGAAATGTGTTATAGTCCTAACGTTTATGATGCTATGAAACCCACGTTGCATACATTTTCCATGAGGCATGTAGCACTTCCTGGAGAATGTGTTTGTAAACAACTGTGATTCATTTAAGAATACCGGTATATAAAGTGAAACTTAATTGTACTCTGAATACTTTGGCATTAATTAGCACTCTTGTATAATGGGACATTATTCCATTCATGTCATCATTTCTGCTCGAATTTTCTGAAAGGAAATTGAACATCAGTGTGTGAGTTCTTAGTGATTGAGTGTTAAGTTCCCGACATGTACTATCGGAGGGCACTATAGGTTCTCATTCCTGTAATTTAATCAGTCATTCCATTCATCGTTAACTTTGTCCTGAGCATATCTCGTGTACTGTGTCGCCTACCATTGCCAAATTTGTTTGTGAATACCACTTGGAATGGCAAAGTGTTGCAAACCAAAATCAGGTCTTGGCCCCACCAGAGCAAAACCAGATTTTTCAAAAGCACTGGTCTTTCAAGCAACCAGATTTGAAAAAATAAGTTGTCTGTAGATAAAATTGAATATATTGGTCCAAAAATGATCATACCTATATTTATGGGTACACCTCATGGAGTTAGCCTTTATAAAATTATGATCTTTTAACAGAACAGAAACTTTTTTTCTGTCCATCTTTTATTTGAGAAGTTACTAAAGAGAACACTGTGTACAATAATATTCATCAGAAAATTCTGTACTTGTCCGTTAGGCAAATAATAGACATCAATTTTCACTTACCCACTTGCCAGTATACTGGCCATGCCCTCTTTATGTTTAGTTATGGTCCTTTGTCCGTTCTGATACCAAAGTTTGTCCTCCAAAGAGGAAATATGGATAACTCATAATAACGTGCCCTGTTGAAATATAGAAAAACTTCTGAAACTTTTCTCTAGCCCTTACATAAAACCTTTTAGCACTGGGCACCAGACTAGTGGATTTCCCTGACACAAAACCTATTAGCACTGGGCACCAGACTAGTGGATTTCCCTGACATAAAACCTTTTAGCACTGGGCACCAGACTAGTGGATTTCCCTGACATAAAACCTATTAGCACTGGGCACCAGACTAGTGGATTTCCCTGACACAAAACGTATTATCACTGGGCACCAGACTAGTGGATTTCCCTGACATAAAACCTATTGGCACTGGGCACCAGACTAGGGGATTTCCCTGACATAAAACCTATTGGCACTGGGCACCAGACTAGGGGATTTCCCTGACATAAAACCTATTAGCCCTGGGCACCAGACTAGTGGATTTCCCCGACATAAACCCTATTAGCACTGGGCACCAGACTAGGGGATTTCCCTGACATAAAACCTTTTAGCACTGGGGACCAGACTAGTGGATTTCCCTGACATAAAACCTATTAGCACTTGGCACCAGACTAGTGGATTTCCCCGACATAAAACCTATTAGCACTGGGCACCAGACTAGTGGATTTCCCCGACATAAAACCTATTAGCACTGGGCACCAGACTAGTGGATTTGTACTTGGTGCTCTTTATACCCTGTCACATTAAACCTGTTGTGGTACCAATGGTATTTATATTGCTATATTCTACACACTTTACTATAAATAAAGATTATGTAAGCATTAAAGAACATGCACATTAAATCCATCTGACTTCTGTTGCAATCTTGTTGTTGTGTTGGATATTTCAAAAATAAATTTTACTGTTTATGGAAGCAACTTTTTGTTTTAAGCTGGTTTTGAATTCATTAACAGGTGGTACTTTGCAATGATATCCATATCGGGGATATTTTCTGTGACGTTCAGTGTTGTGTTCGCCTACGTGGCCGACGTAACTACAGAGGAGGACAGAGGTCAGGCCTACGGTCTGGTAAGTCATGTAAAACGTGGACATGTTAGACAGTAAAGAAAAGTTATATAGATTCTCGAAAATTACCCATATCATTTTAGTTTCAATGGGATTTTAATCTTTCAGTTCAGTGCAAAATAATTTGTACGCCAAAGTCATGGATGTGTATGTGAGTGTGTGTGGGGCGGTTATCACATAATTGACGATCACAGGTCACACATTCTATTGTTATCACTGCTTACCTGGTATATGACTTTAATTGGATTTGATGAAACTTAATTCAACTGTTCAGTGCTACAAAAATTCCAACAATTTTTGAGTTGATTGGACATGGCGCATGCTCACTTGAACAATGATGAAGTATATCATCACTTGATTCCTTTTCTTCCATCATGTTTTAATTAAAGTTCACCGAAATATTTAGTACTGAAAAAGGGCAAAGTTACTGGTTCTTACTATCCCCTACCTTTCAAAGAAATGTCTCCAGCTTTCTCCATCACCCCATAGAATAGGATTTCTCTGCCACTTTGTCAGGCTACTGTCAGTGTAGCTGAGACTGAAATAATAGGACGAGAGAAAAACAATCGTTCACTACCTTGAGAGTGTAACAGGGAAGTCTGCAACCCTTAGATGATTATTTTGTTGTCTAACTGTCTCAAAAGCCTTGAGGTAGACAACCAAATAAAACCCCTTCTGGGTGGATATTTATCTGTCACGCCTTGAAGGTAATGGAAGACTCTGCACTGAGCAAGATCTAGTTATCACAGTAGAGCGCTAAGATTTTTTCTGTAACATCTACTGAAGTACAGGCAGACGGTTGGATGTTGAAAAATGTTAGCCCTCGATATAGATAACCTGATGTTTTAATAGTTAATAGATTTATAAACCTTCTCATGGAAATGATATTACAAGAGAGAGTATTTTGAATTTTGGTAATGTTGGCCCTGACAATTATACAAGTTAAAAGGTCAAGTTAATATATGTAGTGAAACATGTGTCTTATGTCAGAACACAATGGGACAAAATATGTAAGTTTGCTATATCCAAACTTTGTTATTGTATAACTTGTCCATAATATATGATGTTGGCAGTAAAATGGATGAAAAGTGAAGTGAGCGGCGTTATATAGAGGTTTCAGTACATTTTGTCATACATGTCAATGATGATTCGTGGGTATGAGACATGAATGTTGGTCTATTTCCATCAAGTATAAAATTGCAATAAGTATTCTTCAAATGTCTAGAAAATCAGTCCAGGTGACTTTCATTGAGTTATGAAGTATATCTGCGTTAGATAATAAACATACATTTACAACTGAAACAATTTTATTTCATGTGTGAAAAAATAGTTACACAGTATATTTAAGGCTAAAGTACCTGGGTACAGGTCAGTTTGAGGACTGTATGTTATTTGTGTATGTTATATATAGGTGTCGGCTACCTTTGCGGCTAGCCTGGTAACGAGTCCTGCCCTAGGGTCGTACCTGGAGCAGGCCTACAGTGAGAACTTGGTCGTTTGGCTGGCTACAGCAGTGGCTCTACTGGACATATTGTTTATCCTGGTGTGGGTGCCCGAGTCCCTTCCGGAGAAACTCCGACCAGCCAGCTGGGGGTCCCAAATATCCTGGGACAAGGCAGACCCTTTTGGGGTAAGTGCTATTATAAAATAAAATTTCAGGAGTACTTTGCAAACAATTCTCAAAGACATATTAGAATCTGTTCTGTGCTTTAAGTCCTGAAACAAAACAAAATTATGATTTAATAGGATTAAATAAAAGTACTACATGTATACAGATTGCCTGTGTTTATAAAAGTACTACATGTATACAGATTGCCTGTATTTATAAAAGTACTACATGTATACAGATTGCCTGTGTTTATAAAAGTACTACATGTA